TGGGGGTGGGGGGGGGGGGGGGGGGGGGGGGAAGAAGAGAAGGAGGAGGAAGGAAGGAGGCGTCAACTGCTGAGTCTCAGGCTTCAGCCCTTACAAAAAAAAAAGTGTCAAGGCCACAGCCACTGCAATGCAGAGCCACGAGTCAACCTACACTGTTCATTATATTTTTGCAAAAATTCTAAAGAAAAAAATAGAGAAATTGCCAGCCATTTTAAAAGTATGAAACAAAACTTGCTTTTATTCCTCCTTCACCCACAAAATAACTTTTCACCCTAAAGCAACACAGATCAGGAAAAAAAAACAAGGCAGACTAGACGAGTGGACATGAGGCATCCCCTCACCAAACTTGAGGCACCCCTTCATAGACTCTCTTAGTTTTGACTCTTTTTCAACTGCACAAAAATACTAGAACATGGATTATCTTGTGAATCATGCTTGTTAGCAATAATAGTGCTAACATTGTGTGGCACCTCAGCACCCTTAAATGGATTTAAAGGCACCCCAGCGTGTCATAAAACTCTGGTGAGAATCACTGGACTAAATTGTCTCTGCAGGAATGAATTACAGTCTATGATTCTGAAACCACACAGTTTTAGAAAAGGCAATTTTAAGATCACCTTATCAGAGAAGGAAAACAATTTTCCCATGGGGGTTACTACAGGCCATGGAAGGGTTTAATAAAAGACTGCCATATTTTAGTTATGCTCTAAATCCTCTAGTTTTGCCATCCTTCTGAAGTCCTCACAGCTGGATTTGGAGCCTAAGACACTTGGATTTTCAGGCTAATACAGGACTGGTGGGAAGCACATTTTTCATTGTTTGTTGTGGGGGCACAGGGCACACCATTCCTAATATTGATCTATGGAATACAGACTATATAAAAATAAATCTGCACGTATAGTTTTTAAAAATCACATATCTCCCATTAAAAAAAAAAATATCTTGCTACAATATTTAATTTTATGGAAGCCTTAAAATTCAGTGCTTTTCTAATTACAGAGAAAGGGAAGGTAAGAGTAAAAAGCAGTAAGAAGAGAAAAATCAATGACTGGAGGAGAAGAAAGTGTAGAGAGAGTGGGAGAAATGGATAAGTTGATATGACACAGCTCCTACCACTCTATGCTTCTGTAGAAATACGTGAAGTAAAATCTTTGCAACCTTAACTGCTCTACTCAGAGTCAAAGTGCCAGTAATTTAGCATATCTGAGCATGCAGGGTGAATATTACACTGTAACAGCTCCCCCTGCTCTTCAAAATATTTAAAAAGGGGATAGTTGTCCATTGTCCAAGTGCCAGAAGAGTCTCACCATTTCTGTGGCTGTTCCTAGCCTGGGGAAAAACACAAGCTAGTAAGTACCTAGCTGCATTCCTTTTGTTCGTTTACTGTCTTCCTGTTAATAGCTGCTTTCTAATTTAAGAGGGGGAGCACTACAGCACTGGTTGTCAGCCAGAGGTACACATACCCCTGGAGGTACTTTGAAAGGTCCTGGGAGTACATAGGGGTGGGCGGGGATGGAGCACCGCCATCTCACCCGGCTGCCAAACAGAAGCAGGGCCGGGGCAGGGACAGAGCAGGGCCACACAGACACTGTGCTGCTGTCGCTCTGCTGCTCACCATGCCTCTGCTCGACATCCAGTCACTCGCCACCCTGCCTTCCCCAACTCCCACTCAGCATCAGGCCACTCGCCACCCCCCTCCCCGCCCCGGGGGTGCACTTACTAAAAAGGGGGCCACCATGGGTACACTTATTAAAATAGGTTGAAAACCCCTGCACTACAGAATCAGCTGAAGTGAACTTCTCACAAAAGTGAAGATTTTCTAAGCAAGCAAGCAGTTCAGCTTCCCACCTCTGCTTTGTTTCTCATAACATTTTTTCATCTCTCCATTGTTGGATTTAACCTTTAACAGCTTACCATATTTACTCAAGTCCAAGATAAAGTATTCCAATCCCTCCCCCACCCCCAAGTGGGGGCGCCTTCCTCCCTAGTGACATCAGCGTGAGACCACACCCTAGGGCCACCTAAATGGTTCTGAGCGCTGCCCCTAGTCGCCTGCCACGACTTGAAGTTGATAGATGCGGAGGCAGTTCCCTGTTGGTGGTCCCAGAGAGGTCGTATCCCTGGGTCTTTCTTCATGGGGCTCCAAAACAAGCTTTTCCCTGTTTTAACACAGGGAAAAGTCTCCCATCTTGGATTCAAGACCTGAGGTGGGGGCAGGGGAGAGGCAGCGTGCAGAGGGGAGGGCAGGCAGATGTTGCAGCTCTGACTCTGGCGCTGACCTGAACTTATGGTCAGAGTCAGAGCTGCACCAACCCTTGCCTCCTTTGCTTTCCTCTTCATTTCTGCCCTCCCTGCCCCCCTCACTTATCCTGCTACTTCAAACCTGCTCCAACCCAGAGCACAGAGCACATGGCTGCTCTGATCCCTGTCTGGCCACATGGCAATGCTGGCAGTGGCAGCTTCACCCTCAGCAGCAGGGTAGCCACAGCTCCAGCCAGGCAGATCCCAGAGTGACCATGTGCTTGAATCTCCAGGCTGGAGGACAGCTGGAGCAGGGGGCAGGGCCACTAGGGTGTGCAGACAGCAGCTGGGGCAAGTGTGTGTATGGAGGGAACAGACAGACAGGGCCACCTGACTCCTTCACCACCAGCCCCCCAACCAACTTCCTCCCACCACTGCTACTTGCCCCACTGCAGCAGTGGGGGAAACAAATTAAAGATGACCTCTCCACATAATTATACCCTATACATGGAAAATTATAACACATGTATTAATTTTCCATATACAGCACCTAATTATTGGAGGGTCATACTGAACTCAAAGTTGTCTTGGTTTCAGGTAAATATGGTAATACTTCCCAGCACTGAAAACTCAAACATTAAGTTTAGTTTGTTTGAACTTACCACAAAACAAATTATGGAGTTACATATGGTGACAGGATCATTACATTAGCTATGATGAAACAGAAAGGATGAGATAGTGCCTAGAATGTCTTCCCACTTCCTCTAGGTATCTTACCCCAAATTGATTTTTGTCTTATTTGGAGTGGCTCATTAAGAGAACTGAAACAGATACAGCCTATACTGGATATTACCTCACATTTCCAATGAAAAGTGAAGCTGCTCAGGTTGATGAATTACTGCAAGGGCTGGAAGATGGAATGAAAACAAGACAGCCAAAGAGGAACAAACATTAAAAACCCTCAAAACTGAGCATGTGCAGCTCTTCTATCTTAAAGTGAAAGGCGTGAAACAAAAAAGTGACAGGGTTTATCTTAACTACTCTGAAATTAACCAAGGCAGAACAAAAGGATAAACTTTTTTTATTTATATAAAAACTATAAAGTATTAATGATACCAGAAATCCTAAAGTATCCATCAACGAAATGCTCCTTTTGCTTCTTGCAACAAGTGGCATCCCATGCAAATAAAAAGGTCAAATAAAAAAAAATATGCATCTGGACAAAACCACTCTACTTCATCTTGAATCAACTCCAAGAAACAAAACATGGGTAAAGACAGGCCACAACAGCAACTTCCTTGATAACCTTCCAATGTTGGTAATACAGGCCAAAATTAGTCTGGCAACAGCTCTAATCAAAGCTGGCTACAGGACTGATTCTATAAAGCCTTGTTTGCACACAAGTATGGTCAAAAGGATATAGTCTACCACTTCAGACTGTGAGGGAATAGAAATAGAGACAACAATGGGTGAGTTAGCAGCAAATAACATTTTCTCTAGTATTCCAATAGAAACTTGGAGTACTAATAAAAACCCAGACAAATCATTAGCCAAATTATTACTTGAAATAAGAATACTGTTCTATTTACTTCGAGTGTGTTACCATTTTCCAGCTTTGTTATTAAGATTACTATACATAAAAGTCTGACAGTAGCACCTAAATTCCTTAAGTGAATGATCTTTGTGACCCTTCGAGACCCCCTCCCCACCGGAAATCCATCTCATCTGTCTTCTGAATACCTTTTCTCCAGGTCGAATACTGCCACATTTGAGAAAGTTGATATCAGCCTTGCAGTCTTCCATGAAGCCACAGATCAGACGGTAATCACTGAAGACTATGGCTGTCATTTTGGTGATATACTGATGACACTGGTATTCAGTGATGTTACCTCTGTGTTCCACCAGACAGGACACCAAATAACCTCTTTTAACTGACTCCTCGGCACAATCTTTGATCTGCTCATAGAAGAGAATATGTTCAAATTTACACATCTTTTAATGTTGATTATCAAAACTCAGAACAATGAGGAAGTTTCAGGAAATGAAAAGAGGCTACTTTTGGTCCTATATATAAAAAGGACATCACAAGATTACCTAAGTAATTACAAGTCTTTCAGCCTGACCCTCAAACAGAAAAATGGGGAAATGGCTAATCTGAAGGGCAGATAAGAATCAACAACATTTTTTTTTTAATAATTGGATTTTTTTAAAATTCAAGTCAGCATATTTTTTTTTAAAATCGTCTTAATAAACAATGATTAAGTAAAAAAAAAACTATATAAAGATAAGTTGTAATTTAAGATACATTAGAAACTCAATAAATATCAAAGAATAAGGATTATAACTTATAATTATATACTATTTGAGACATTTATGTAACCGTTTTAGAAACGCCTTATAAAAAGGTCACAACAAACCGCGGACTATATTAGGGGCCCAATCTTATGGGGTTCCTAGAGGCTCCTCTTTAGACTGGTAAAGATTAAAAAAAAAAAAAAAACACTCTACCCTATAGGACTCAGTGCTCAGTATAGAAGATCCCATTAAGCATCTCTGTGATGCTTAGTTGCAGTTCTCAAACTGTGAATTTGTGTCTCCAGAGTTAGCAGTATATGAAGATGAGAGATAACAGACCTGATTACCTACCCTCAGCCCTATTGTGTCTCTGCAAGTTTGTGTGCACAGTCAAGCCCTTCCCTCTATTCATTTAAACTTCTTGAAACTTTGCACTTTTAGAAAGAGGTTTGTTGGGGGCAGTGTAGATCTGGATAAGGGGGAGGATTCTGGAGATCAATGCAAGGAGGGAGGGGCAGCGGAATTAAGAGAAACGTTTTGAGCAAACTATTCCAGAAGTCTTGAGGGATACATTTCTGAGTATAGCTTCTCCATTGATTTGAGAACTAGTGAGAGAATGGTACTGGTAGAAGGGGAAACCCAATCTGGCACAAGGCTTGCAAGGCCATAAGAGACCTTATTTGGGAATATTTTAATGAAGGTTAAACCAAACAACAAGAAAGCATTTTTGTAGATAACAATGATTAAATTGAGACTTCCTGACCAGCGATTTAAATTAAATCCGCCCTGCTAATTTGGGAACCTAATTAATACAAACCAGTGTGAGTTTATGATAAAAGCATCTTGCCACTAACTTGATATACCTTTTTCACGTTATAAGTTTAGTGAATAAATGCAATACCACTGATGCAAGAAAACAATATATTATTGTCTGTATGGCCAAATATGAAGTCTTAACTAGGAACAATGAGTGCAGGCCATACTTGCATGATGGACTCCAGCCTGGAGAGCAGTTACTCAAAACAAACCAAAAAAACAACTCAGGGGTCTTATGGCTAAAACCAAAAAGCAACAAACAGTAAAACAGTTAGCTTTACCACGACTGTAAAGTGTCAGCTTGTGCGGATACATGTGATATTCTTTCTATTTGAAACTTTTAAGCTCTCAAATACAGTAAATTTCCTTGCTGGTTAGTTATTCCAGTAAATTTCCTGGACTCCTAAAATTATAACTGCTTCCTTGGGCCCTATTCTGACTACATTAAAGTTGTTCCACTGTCACATGATCATGGGTAGCAACAGAGGGAGAACTAGCACAGTCCTGCCTTGAACAGCCAGCATTATAATCATTGTCACTCAGACCCATCTTGAGTAGTGTTAAAACACCATGGCTAAAATGCTAGCAACTGAGCTTCACTAATGCCCCAAAAAGGGCAACATCAGCAGAGTTATATGGGAAGTAATACCACCAGAAACCATAAGAAAAACAATAGACAGAGATTGGGAAGAGAAAGAATAATCCATGTAACGAGTTACCTTCTGAAAGCAGCATAGAAGCCATCATTAAAAGCAAAATCATTACAGAGAAGCCATGATAACAGCTGGATGAAGTCACACAAGCAGATATGAAAATACTTCTATCTCAGTTTCCAGAATACAAATGCATCTGCTTTACACTGCACACATTTAACCACTAAGACCAAAGGTTATTTCACTATTCTCAAGCCAAACTTCACTTGGACGATCAGTGTTCACATTCCGAATGGCATTATACACACAATTCTATAGAATTTCATGTGCTTTAGAGCACTTAAACCTTAAGAGAGCAGGATATTTCTGTGCAAACATCTCCTATTGTGCTTTGCAGTTCCATGTGCTGCTGGAAAAGAGTTTTGTTCACCATACAATGCTGTGTAAGACATTAATTTAGGTTCAAGTATACAAGCTATCTCTGAGTGCATGTTGCCTTGAAAGAACATTAGACCTAAGTATTAGTTAAATCCAGTTGATTTAGAGTCATCAGAAAACCTTAACAGAAATTTAAACCTCTGAAAGATGTGGAGATAAAGAAGACTTAACACCATACCATGAGACACTAACCTTCCCTTCTTTACTTTACATACAAAGAATAAAAAACTATATGCCAAAGATTACTGGGTCTACTGTTTTACACATACTTGATATAAATCTTCTAGACAGACATTAATATAAACAAAATGGATTATGAAGAATTGTGTCCCAAATACCAAAATGCATGGCAGCGTGTGCAATTTTTGGCATCTGGGATAAAATTTCTCAGACCCCACTGCATGCTCAGACCTTTAAAGTCACCTAACGCAGCCAAGTGTGGAGAACCAGTCCCCAATGCCAGGCTATGCGCATCATGGCTTTAAAAGGTGCCCATGTGTGGGGGACCAATGCGTTTCCCACAGGCTAGTAAGTTTAAAGCCATGCCATGTAGCTTGGCACTGGGCTGCACAACACATCTTTTTAAATCTAATGAACATTTTGAACTTCTCTAGGTAAGAGATGATTTAGAGAGGTTTAAAGCTATCTGCTTTGGTGATTAAGCCACCCCCAAAAATGAGACAATAGCCATCCCTCTTACCTCTACTATGGTGGATTTACAGACATCTCTGGCCACGGAGTCAAACTTTGGGTCTGTAGTCAGGTTAGCCTTGTAGTTCCACAACAACTACATGAAAAGGGAGGGGAAGAGAATGTTATTTGTGGTTAGAGATCTCCTATAAAGGGGGCGCGTCTACACGAGACATTAACTGTGAAGTAGCCTAATTCTACTGCGCAGAAGCATACAGCGTATTAATGCACATGTAGATGAGCCCAGGGATGATAAGCAAGCACTAGCGTCAGCCTAGAGCTAGATTTAAAGCAATTTCTTTCAGTTAAGCTGACCAATATCCAGCTTCACTAATGTAATCTTCCATATTCAAAATTGTGAGACAAAGTTACCAGTGGATTTATTTTTGCAACTTTTTATTTCTCCCACTAGATCAGGCTTGTCCAACATGCGGCCCGCTAAGCCGTTTTCTGTGGCCTGCGGTGCTGCAACAGGAAATAAGAGTAAACACTGTTTACTTTCGTTCCCACCCCTTGTCCCTCCCCCGGCTGACAGCAGCTTCCTAATGGCTGCTGAAGGGCTGGGGAAGAGACACGGTTCCCACACGCACTGCATCAGCTTGACGTTGCTGACGCGGTGCATGTGGGAAGAGGAGTAGCCACGTGCCGCTCACGACAGGATGAGCCCAGCTGGAGCAGCAGGGGTTCAGCTGCACTTTCCCCCTACCTGCGCTGGTTAGTCCCGAGCAGCACACGACTCCACCGCCACCTCTGCTGGCTGGTGCCAACCCGGGCAGGTCCGTCCCATCTGGAGCAGCATGCAGCTGAAGCCAGATTCCCAAGTGCTGCTGGGGCCGGGAGGAGCCCAGCCGGCTCGGCACCAGCCAGCAAAAGTGGCAGCAGAGCTATGTGCCGCTCGGGACTGACTGGTGCAGGCAGGGGGAAAATGCAGCTGAGCCCCTGCTGCTCCAGTCGGGCTCGTCCTGTCCTGAGCAGCACGCGGCTCTGCCACCGCTTCTGCTGGTTGGTGCAGACCCGGCCAGGCTCCTCCCATCCCCAGCAGCTCGTGGGAACCCGGCTTCAGCCGCATGCTGCTCCAGATGGGATGGATCCAGCCAGATCAGCACCGGCCAGGAAAAGCGGCATGCAGATGAAGTCGGCTTCCCACATGCTGCTGGGGATGGGAGGAGTCCAGCCGGGTCTGCACCGGCTAACAGAAGAGGTGGCCGGA